AAAGAAGCTGAGGCCCAAAAGCTGATCCTGAAAAGTGCTTATTACCTCCTTCAAGGTGTTACAAATTCTATTGATTTCTCCTATAAGAACTGAAGCCACTTAGCAGCTTGAAGGCACAGGGCAAAAAACTGCCAGTAGAAATTCACCCGGGTGGTGTGCTGTGAAAATGAAAAAGGTGTTGCTAGGTCCTCTTATGGACCAGTAATTGTGATGTGTACAGAACAAAGATATGTACAGAAGTGGCTAGGGTAAGCTGTATTAGAAATAAAATGATTGATAGAATATTCAGTACAGAAAAAGGCAGCAATAAATGTCAACTACTAAAAGATGAAGTCTAAAAAAGTTGTGACATTTAAAACCATGGGACATCTTTGTTGCGCTGAGAGTGATGAATGCTCTGTAAGGAGGCACTCATTGATGCAATATGAAATGCACCTGCTGAGAGTTAATTGCATGGCTGGGGCTTCTCAACCAGGCTGTGTCTCTGAAAGCAAAGTTTCCAGCTAGGAGAAAATGCATATGGTGGCGAGTGTTCTTCCTGCAGAGACTCCCTACAGTCAGTGCTTGGTAGCCCACCACAGAGGTAACGCAGGGGGGGGGAAACACTTCACAGGTGTCTGCAGCAGAAGTACAAGAGGCAAGAACACAATGACTGGTATCGCACTGTGTAACATGGATTAAACACAATCAAATTATTATAAAGAGGGCCACACCTTCAGGTTGGATTGCAAGCTAACCACAAGCCCTACAGCTCCGAAAAGTCAAACCCTCTCCTGTCCCACATAAGGCAGGCAACACAAGCAGAGGGACCGAAGGCATTTTGCACTTCTCAAATCCTTGATGCCTGCTACTGTGGTAGTCCCATTCCCTCCCTGGAAGGTTCATCCCACCAGCCTTACATGTGCCTTGGCCAGGCGCTCAGCTCAGAGCTACCTACAGGCAGCTGCATGGGCCAAACACCAATAGGAACAGTGCCCAGCAGCCAAGGAGGATCTCACAAGTGTGGTATCTCACAGCCTTGTAAATCCTCAGTCAGTAGCTTGGACTATAAAATTCTGTACCAATCTAAATGGCCTCTGTCTGCACCAGAGCCATAGCATCAAGGGTTTAAAGCCACCGAACAACAGCTGCTGGAAATACTTAGACTCAGAATCATAGAATGGTTTGGGTTGGAAGGACCTAAAAGACCATCTAGTTCCAATCCCCCTGCCATGGGCAGGGTTACCTTCCACTAGACCAAGTTGCTCAAAGCCTCATGCAACCTAGCCTTGAACACTGCCAGGGATGGGGCAGCCACAGCTTCTCTGGGCAACCTGTTCCTGGATAATATTTCAATTTAGAAATGTTATTTGTTGCTTGGGATGGAAAGAAAGCTGGAAATCTAACAAAACAAAGCTTCTCACAAAAAGTGCCTGATTTAGTTTAAAAATCCTGATTCTTTCTCAGAAAATCGGAAATCCCCAAGTGTTCTGTGATTTTCTGTGAAAATTCAGGTCATCCAGGTTTTGTTTTTTCTAGAAAAATAGTTGAACTTGGCAGGCTGAAATTTGAAGAAAGGTGACTTTATTTTTACTGACATTTTTATGGTAGGGTAAAGACTTTCTCAGTTGAATCTTTCCAGCAGACTTCTTGTAGTCCCTCAAACAGGGCTATAAAAGCCTTTGTAGGTGTGGGCTATCACCCTCAAGATCAGGCTGCCTCATGCCATATGAACACATAACTGTGCTACATAATTAAGTGGTGAACAATGATTTTCAAGTTGTTTTACTGCACAAAAGGGATTCTGGAGGAAGTCACTTGCCTCAGACTTCTTTTACACTGGCACTTCATTTGATGCTAGCCCTACAATCAAATATTAAAGCTTTACTCTAAATTATGTAAAAACTTTCTCACAAATCTGAATGCAACATGCCATACAGCAAAATGCTGCTGCTGGAAAGGTTCTCTGATTTCACACCTGAATGCTCATGTCTTTTGTTACTGGCATGCTGGCTGCCACCTAATACTCCTCATAAGATGGCATTTTCTCCTGAGACGCATGCCCAATGGTAAACAACACTGCTTGGTATCTGCATGGTTTTCACATATGGAGAAGGGTTAAAAAAATATTTCTATTTTTCAAACCAAAAATTGTAATCAAGAGATTCTGAATTTTTGTTTTGCAGGAGATGTCAGAGCTGCAGGGGCAACGGCTGTGGGAAGTGAAATATCTGGCACACTGCTGATTCCTATGCAGTCCACAAGTAGGTGCCCCCACTAATGACATTTCTAAAGTGCCATCAGTTTTTGTCACCTCCTGACATTTGTGGAGTCAATGGCTTTTTGCTTTTCAAAAAAAAGTTGAGAAACTGAATGATAAAAGGCACATATTTAAACAACATTCAGTTAATAAATGGCACATAAGCATGAGTTACTCAGTTAAGACTGAATACATAAGCTAACAGTGGCTATTAATCTTCAAAAGTTAAGATACATTTACTCTAAATTATGTATAAAATTTTATTTCCCCTATACGTAAAGTGAGACAGGTTACTTCAGAGACATACAATCATAGAATGGTTTGGGTTAGAAGGGACCTTAAAGGTCACCTAGCTCCAACCACCCCACCAAGGGCAGGGACACTTTCCACTAGACCAGCCTGCTCAAAGCCCCATCCAACCTGACCTTGAACACTGTCAGGGATGGGGCATCTACAGCTTTCATGGGTAACCTGTGCCAGTGTCTCACCACCCCCACAATAAAGAATTTATTCCTAATATCTAATCCAAATCCAACCTCTTTCAGTTTAAAGCCATTATCCTTTATATATCATAGTTTTCAGGTGACACAAAATAAGGCAGGCTGTACAGTATGTTAATTCGTCTGCATTGACAAACACATAAACACTCAACTTTAGCTTCCATAGTGCCTGATTTTTCAGTTCCCTCCAGACTTTAACACTGTCTGAATATTTTCATTTCATTATTGTTCACAATTCACATATCCTCCAGGATGATAGCTCTGCCATTCATTTTTCTTTGCAAATACTCTCCTTCTCTTAAGCAACTTTAATGTTTGGGGGGAAAAGTCTAAGCATTAGGTGTTAACTGTCTAGACTTTCAAAGGCTATGTGTTCAAACCTTGGCAAGGTAGACTTTGTCTTTCATTTGTCCCTGAAGAAAATTTATATTTCATGCTGATTTTAGAAAGGAATATGTCAAAAAATGTTTTATAAAACAAAGTCCAATCATATGTGTCCTGAAGGTAATTGAATTTTGGTGCCATTTGTACATACCTAACCAGGGATTAAAGCTATATATATTTATATCATGACTGTTTATGAATTTTAAATTCCAGGGCAATGAAACTATAAACAAACAGCATCTTAGTGTACTGCAAACACAACCTTTCTTCCTTCAGTGAAGCGAAAGGGGAAAATGACAAGAGAATTATTGGGTTGAATAATTATGGGAGAAAAGAGATGAATTTGCTTGATTTGTTGTTTGAGAGTTGGCACAGGCTGAAGTTGCTAAAGTTTATTTAAAATGCAGTGAGCTTTTGTACCTTAGAGAATGCCAAGAGTCAGACTGGTCCAACATTTTCTGATGGAACATTGCTCCACTTGGAAACGTTTATGCTTTGAAAGTGGAAACATTTTGCTTTCAGCAATTCTCCTGATGCAACATGGAACACTGAATATGACTGATCTGGCCAGTTTCTTATCAACTCCCATGCTGGCTCCCCGGCAGCCTGCCACGGGGCTGGCACAGCTTTTTGACAGGGGCTTTGAAGGGCCGACAACTTCAGGTCTGCCAGACTTGGAAACCCTAAATCCTGCTCAACGTTCCTAATGTCCAGAAGTTGCTGCAGACAGTCAGTTTCTCAAATTGGTGCAGAAATATTCTATTTTTTAAACTCCAGACAGTATGGTTTAACCCCATCTATTCCTGCACCACTGTTGTCCAGCTGAAGGCAGGGCCCAGCTCTGCAGGACAACATGAAACTGGCATGTCCAAACTGGTTCCTTAGCCTCTACTTCATCTCAGTCTCCTGATGCACTTATCTGCACCTTCATTCAGGTGTGTGGTGCCAAACACTTTAATACTGCCCTTCCAGATTCGTTTTGATAACTCCAAGCCCTAAAACTTATATTGTATGCCTGATCTCCCCCATACTTGAAGGCTGGACCATAAGAAGTTAATAAATAAATAAATAAATCCAAATATATTTTCTAGTAATTTCACTTCCTTCTTGGTAATTTGATGAGGGTTCACTTCTCTCCATTTTTCTCTGCCACTACAAGGTCTCTGTGAACATGCCACAATGAATGGGTCAGAAGCCAAGCCCAGTGCAGGTGCTAAGCAACACTCACACATGTAATAGTACTAAAAAAACCCTATCCAGTCCAAAGTGATTTCTAGTACACAATAATATACAATTCATGACACAACAACTTTGAGACAAAGGGAGAGATAAGGAAATGGCAATTCGGTTATATTGTGTGTAATAATTCACAGACTTACAATAGGAGCTGCTTGGCTGCTAACACACAGCACTGACCGTTATTTTTATGCAATAGACTTCCTGAGCCACCTCCAGACAGTATTTTGAAAGCATTTAGCTGGTTAAACATGCAAACCCCCTAGGAGTTAGGCACTTAACATGTTTTGGGGAAGCCATAAAGTACCTACGTCCAGCTTTACGGAGCCTGAAGTATTTTAGAAGCCTGCCCTCTAGTTTCCCTTAAGAGTTACTGTACCAATGCAGAATTTACAGTAATGTCTTGACTGTGATTTACCTCACTGATAGTGTCTCACTCACTATCTCAACAATTAGTTTCCCTTTTTTTTCCACTAAAAAAATTCCTAAACCTATGCCTCCCAAAACCCTACCAACAACCCCCAGCAAAAAGAAACTAGTTTCAGCATTAATCCTTTGGGAAATATTCTGTAATAGAATCGTGATGTAACAAGATTGAGTTAAACCACGGTTTCATTTGAAAACTAATGCTTTTGAAAAAAAACAACCTGCACGAATGACAAACTCAGTGAGCACAAGAAGAGAAATGACTGTCAGAAAAATGTCTTTTGCATGTTAACACTTCACATTGCTGAGGGAGCTGCAGAGTGCACTGTTCCTTTACATCACTCTTGAGAAGAGAGTGGGGGAAGTGAAAAAGCACATTTCTTTGGTAGCCAGGGAAACCCAGAAGGGTGGCACCATAAACTACCTGCTTCTGCTATTCCAGCAAAAGGGAAAAAATAGAGTGGTTTAACTTACACAAATCCTCTCTGTATAAGGGGAGGTGATACCCTGATTCCTTTGCCGGTAAAGACAAAAAGCTCCTCGGCACTTATAACCTAAGAAATCCTTGCTGGTCCCGCAAACACTCCTCCACTGCCGCCTGCTGCACGCACTCTTCAAGACTAAACTGCAATTAAAGTTACAGAGTCATCCTGCTTTGCTTCAGAAGCCACCTAGAGCTAAATTTCAGCGAGGCCTGTGCCAGCATCTCAGGTTTGTGTGGAAGTCTCAGAAAAGGGACATAGCTCTGCTGTAATTTCAGCTCTTTCAGAATTTTGGGTGGGTTTCCCTGGCACTGAGGCAGTTTGAAGCTTGGCAAGGCAAGCAGCACTGTTCCATGCCGTTCTTCAACCAGAAAAGAAGGTGTGCCCAGAGATCCCAGTCAGCCACGGTGGTGTTTAGTGGTGTCTGGGTTATTTCTCCTCAGCTGAGAGGCTGCTGTGGAGCTATGTGGCTCATCACTTTAGTACAGCTGTGTTGCAGGAACAAGGGTGGGGAGTGTGGGGGTCATGGGGCTGGGGCAAGCCATGCTGGCCCTCCTGAAGCAATACCCATCCCTAGGCTCCCTCAGTTTGAATTCTTTGCTTTTAATGCCATAACAGCAAGCTCTGTGATCCTGGAGACACTGAGAAGGGCCTCCTTTCCAAGCAAGAAAATAAAAATCTCAGCTGTCTCTATTTGGGCAGTGATATTCAATTTATTCATCATGAATTCTGCCTCTTCTGCCACCTTACCCAAGCTGTACTGCAAGTAACCCACATTTGACTCTCTGTGCTAGTTACAGTTTCTAAAAATGCTACTTTCTCCTGGTCATATGGTTTCTTCTCTGCAGAATTCATAATATATGAGTGAGTGTTGTTCTGTATAAATATAGTGTACATCTGATATGCCTATGGATAATATCATAGCACGATTGAACTGTGATTAATCATGGTACTACTATTCATCCACCTGTTTTCTTTCAATATAAATCTGGCATGTGCAATAAAAAGCGAGGGCCTGAGACAACAGTCGCATCTCTGCAAACGTAGTTAAGAAGAAATGGAAGTTGGCTACAGTTTTATTTTCAAAATATTCAAATCAAGACAGAGAAATCTCTGTGCACTTTGCAAATACTTTTTATGAAATGCTTAGCACTTCACAAAGTCAAAATACAGTGGAAAATACTGCAAATGGGAGGAAAAGGAAGCATGGTAAGAAAGTGATTGCTAACTGTCAAAACCCAGCATAGCCTTCCCCTTACCCACATCCTCTGTAGCCTCTTCTGAATATTCTACACTCTTCTCCTGGATTATTTGGCCTCTTTGCCATGAAAAAGCAGGAGGTCTTAATCAGCTCGGGAAAGCTGATAACCATCTTGTACATAAACCAGAGGATCCTCTTCAGAGGTGGGTAAGCATGAAGGCAAGATATCATACCCAGGCTGCTAATTTAATTTGACATGTATCTGACTGCATTAGATATCTGTATATTCTGACATCTGGTCCCTGCAGGATTTGCTTAATTCCTCACATTATCTTGCTTCTTCAAAGCTACTGCAGCTAGCACAGTAATTGTCTCTTCTTTGTAAAGTTCACTGTAGAGTCATATAGTACTTGATGCATACAGCTACAGTACACATTAAGTCCTTTCACATCAGTAACCAGAGTGTATGTGTGTATATATGTATATATAGTGTTTATAGGTTTTTGTCATTTCTTAGAGCTTTAAATATAAGACCATTTTCTCCCATGGATTAAAAGATTTCTTCAAAATGTAAATGGAGGCATTACACCATGTTGTTTGTACAAGACTGTACTGTTAATACATGAATTTGCAGTCTGTAACAGGCAAGCATTTAGAAATGAGGTATTAGGATTGAGTGGAAGACAAATGGGAGAACCAAATTTTCCCATGACATCCTTCTTCACAACACAAAAGTGTTTTTTGACTAAACAAACTGTAAATTAAAAAAATCTCAACAGCAAAAGATGCATCCAAGGCCAATTGTTGTCTGGGTTTGAATTTGCACCGTCATGATCTACAGGTTCTGGGGAAAATACCTTGCTTGCTCAGCTCTGCAGAAAGGCTCTTCTCAAAATCCACATGTAGCAGCTGGAGCACTCGCACAGCTGTACTGGTAGGAGTCCTAGATCTGACTGCAGAAACATACAGAGGCCCATTCACTCTAAACAATGAACAATGTGCAATTTGCATATTCAAATTTGGAGTGGGATTTTAAGAAGCAGTTAAGCAATTTAGGAGCATAGCTCCTGCTGAGTGTCAATGGGATCATGCTCCATAGTACTGGGGGACAGGGTTCCAGGGATGTAGATGCCTAAGGTACAAATGGGACTTAGGCGCTTAACTCCAAAACTACTACCCTCAAAAACATGGTCCAACTACACCATAACCTCAAACTCTGCTCTTATCCATCTACAAATATGAGTTTTAATAAGCCTGCTCAGCTGAGTACCAAGGAGACATGAAATCCTGAACATAAGCCAGAAACTTGGTGGGTTTCCACAGACACCTTCCTCCTCAGCACCTACCTAATTGCATCAGGCTTAGTACAAAAAAACAGCAGCATCTACCCTGGTTTCTTTTAAAGCACAGCTTGAGGAAACTGTTGCTACACAAATTAGCTTTTAGACAAGGTACACAGCAATCTACAGGCTAAGGCACATGCAAGCAGGTTTTCCTGGTGCCAGCTGAGCTCTACATTGCTAAGCTGCCGCAAGGCTCACTTGTCTACAGATTAATTTTAATTCATTTCTGCACAGCAGCCTAGCTTTAGCTCAAAGTCTAGAAAGGGTCCCCCCTGCCAAGCTACTCTGCAGTCTCCAGGGAGGCAAGAAATGTTGGTTTTAATCCTTTTGAGGAGAAGAAGAAATTGACCTGCTTTATTCATGAATCCTGGCTGGGTATGTGTGAAAATCGCTGAGCCAAGGCAGAAGGGGGGTGGCACAAGTACGTTCCTTCCTTCCCTTCAAATTATTCTTCTTGTTTGTACAAAAAGTACTCAGGTGTGAATCTGGAGGTGACGGCTCACACTGCAAACCCAGTGTGAGGGAAAATGGTTCCTGGCTCTACTCAGGACATTGCTGAAGCCCCAGAGAAGACAATCTGATTGGTTTTAGTTTTTCCTATTAGCTGTACCTCAATAGGCCTCCTCCCAAGCGTCATGATGCTGCTTGCAGAAGTGGTTCAAGGTTTCTTAACAGTATATGCAGGGCCATCTTTTTGAGGTAGCAGAAGAGCAGGTTGCTGCAGGGCAGAGGATTTCTGAGTGGACAGAGACACTGAGAACTGTGGGTGAGACAGGGATCTCCACCTCCCTTACTTCTCTCTGTAACCTTGTGTGTCTCCTTACAGCCAGTTTCCTCTTGGGAGGAACAAGGACTCATCCCTGAGCAATTCTAGTGCACCCTGGCAGGGGAAGATAATGCTGGCCTTTATCCAGCCCTTTAGAACACAGCAATCAAGGCCAAAGGTGGTGTCATACACTCTGGACTATACATTCTCTACTCCCCTCTGCCTGCCCCAGGCACTTCAGCTCCCCTCTTTAATGGTGTGGCCAGCCAGCCAGTAGGTAGTAAAGCCCAGGCAGTTGTACCCACAAGTAGATCATGCAAGAAGATTGACTCCATGGTAGAGAGATTTGGGGAGAGACAGAACTTGTAGTGCCTCTCTGAGGCAAATGAGTATACAGCAGTGCAATGTGGTGTTCCGCAATCTTCCACAGCTACCAGAAACAGCTGCCTTCATCATTCTGCCCAAGATGTATCTGATCCCTGTGCTGTTAACAAAATCCCAGACACTGGTGGGGGATGTAAAGGAATGCTCCACTGGCTCAAGGCACTGTAATGCCATTGCACATGACTTTCATATCATGGACTTGCCTTGGTGGAAATGTTTAGATGCCAAGACTCACTGCAGGTGGCGTCCCAAGGCTTTTACTTTGCTGAGGATGGTCAATCTTCAGGTAAAAAATGAGGCCTTTAGCCTCAGGTCAATACAAGCCTCTCTGGGAGCCAGTTCCAGTCACCTCTATGGTGTCTGTTGAAGTAAGGCACTGAAGAAGTTGGAGCTAACTGCTCTATTTCTCATCCTGCCTTCAGGAAGTGGATTGCAACCAAAGCACAAATAAGTTCACACATGTGGCCAAGTTGCCCCGTGACCCAGCATGCTACTGCTTGCCAGAAGAGCTGTGGGTGTTTGGCCAGGTCCAACTTCTTAATCTCTACATATGTGAAACAGAACATGAACATCTTCACAGAGGTTTCTACCGATCGACAAAGACTTCAAAGCATGCACATGGTCAACAGAGACTCAGGTGATGTCTATTAATGTGTTAAACTGCAGTAACTTGACAGACAACACTTAGCTACTCCTTAGATAAATAGAACTGGTTTGCCCCAGAAGTAATTGTTCAAACTTACAATCTCAAGTCTATTCCATTCTAAACTTAAGAATAAAAAATAATAAAAGCATATAGAGTGGAAAAGACTGCAATATGAAGGGTTTAAACTACAAAAAAAAAAAAAAGTTACATGCAAGATATACCCATCTGAATTCACTTTACTTTCACCAAAATGGACTGAAAAATTGAAAATATGTGTCTTGCCTTCACAGAGAGCTCTTCTTGCCTTGAGAACTAAAAGAAAAAAAAAAAATTATATTTTTTTCCAAAACAAATGCTTCCATTCAAACTCTGAAGAGATGGATCAATTCAACTATTTTCAGGGAAAAAAAAACACAAAACCAAAGAAATTGAGAAATCCAAACATAAAAGGTCTGAGATCCTTAGTTAAAGGCTTCATTAATGTCTGAGACAATTAATTAGTTACAGTAGAGGACATACTCTATCCCAGTCTTTGACAGTCTTTGGGAGGGCTACTGCATTCAAGAAAATTGAGATTTGTAAACACAGAAACAACTGGAGCTTTGCTTTTCCCTGTATTCTGCCTATTTCAGCTTGAATATTTGGTTTCAAGTCTTCAGATTTTCTTCCATTTCAGTACACACTTTGTATACACGTCTTGTATATAAAGGCAGCATGTTTCAAATCCTTGAAATAGCACCATCTAGTTACTGTCATCATTCTTCCCTTGGAATAGGAGCATTTTGGCTTTGGGGGAAGTTTTTGTTCTTTGATGTTTCCTCAGTAAAAGCAATTTTGCCAGTCCTGCTCTCTCCTTGTGTGCACCAGTATTGTCGCTACCGCTGTTAAAATGCACTAACACGGCAGTGGACATGGGCCAGTTAGCCTGCTTCTCCTGTGGTTCATTTGTTAGGAAGCAGGGCAAGTACAGCCTTCGTCCTCTTCTTCCCTAAGTGCATTCCCAGCTCCAGCTATTGTTTGTGCTCTCTGATTACATTTCTGTACCGTGAAAGGCTCTGTAATGCTGTGCAGGAGTAACAGCAATTTCAAGATGAGGTTTGCTCCAAGGCAACAAACAGGAACAAAGACCCAGAAGAGCTAAAAGCTGAAGGACTTGATTTATTATTTTATCAGTTGAATAAATGAATTATTAAATTAAAGGCAATATTACGGCAACTTTACCAAACTGGGGAGTAAGTTCTGAACACCAAGTCTGAAGGGTTTATTCTGCTTTTATTGAATCCATGTCTGTACATGGAGGTCAGCCGTTTGTGGTCAGAAACAAATGCAGCCATGCTAATATAAGTACTAAATGGAGGGAAGAAAAATACTTTATACTTGTTCCCAAGTTCAAGGAAAGGTTAGTCCAGCTGAGTTTCCTTTCAACTAGCTGTAACCTGCAGCAAATCAAACATTAAGAATAAAGTATGACCAACACTGAGAGTAAAACCAATACATATTCCTATAGGAAGTGCTTATTTATGCTGTGTATTTTGTTCTCTTAGCGCGCCTACAGCATAAGATTTCCTCTATAGTGTTGCCAGCTGGGCAACAGACGTTGGCATCACTGTAATGTTGAGCTCTGCCTATATACAACGGTCTACCTATCTAAGGTGAGATCTACTATCATGCTATTTATCTCAGAAGGAATTTGCAAACCAGTGTGAAACAGAGATAGCCTTGGCACTAAAAACAGCATCACTTTTCAAAACAAGGCACACGAGGAGCAATTTGGTGGCTGAATCAAGCATAATCCTATGTATGTACAGAGTAGGGTTAATGACACTTGTAGAGAGCCTGGTCCCAGACAGGGGTCACACAGCTTGTGCAATATTGAGCCACCTCTGCAAGAGATGACAAAGTAGTTACACAGTAATTTATGTGGTTCTTGATCACAAGGCTGTGAAAACATAATTAGGTGACAAATGAAACGAATAAAAACTATAAAACAAAATGATGAGGCACTAAATTTAGAAGAAAATTGATTTGATTAGCACATCAGAGCTGTGATATTTCAGATCATACTGTCATCTTAATTGTCTACAATTTATGTAGATTTGATAAAACTATGTGAGCTGTTAATAACGTAGGGAGTTGCACTTCATGTATTCAAAAGCAGTTAGCCTTTTTACTTTGATGTTGGCACTTGAAAACCTTTGTGCTGAATAAACTTTGAAGTGTGTAATGTTAGAGAGACTGAAATTGCTTATTATTTTGGGTTTCTGATGATGCCTGTCACTACAGTGTCTGAGTGCTCCAGGCGTACCTAATGCTGGTGGGACAGTTCCCAGGTACAGAAAAACAGCATTGCCCTCATCTCACCCATAACTCTTTAATAGTAGTCTGTATGATCACTTTCCCATTCTCCAGTTTCAAATGCCCATGATTCCCTATTACAATTAGTTCTACATGGGTTTGTATGCATGTGCCTCAGGATAAGCACTATTTAAGTTGAAAAACCTTCTCTAAATATTAGGATCTGTTCACACAGCAAATAGCTGAAGTTTTAGGGGCTCCTGATATCTTGTTCTGAGATTTCCAAGAGGAATGCATTCCAGTGATACTTACTGTTTAATGCTGCATTTTATATATACATATATATCTATATATATATATAAAATCATTAATACTACCTTTTAACACACATAGAAGAGATAAGAAAAAGCCTGCTGACTATATTCCATCTTCATGCTTCACTGGTGTTATCAGGAGGCCTCATGCTTTTCTGAGCTTCATTTGAGGGATGTCAGATCAGAAATTTCATCTAACTCAAGG